TTAAGAAAAAACTTTATTGTTGTTGTTATTACAACACACCACCTACATACAGCAATGCACTGACGAGTTTTAAAGCGCACCCCCACTGGGTAAAGGAATAGAACTTCATCCGCACCCGAGACCCCCATACCCTTGCCGGTCATGCCTCCCACCCTCCCTCCCCCGCAGCAGTAGGGCCACCTGCTGGCTCTTCTGGGAGTCGCATCACTGCCTGCTGTATTGTGTTACCCTCACCTGCTTCCCCCTCCCGTGGGCCTGGGAGTCGTAAATGCCACTCTTGGGTTTGTCACTGTGCCTCTGCCCTCCGACCCCGCCCAAGGCTCACGACTCTGCCCCGCCCATACAGGTTGCCAGAGGAGGCCAGGCACCGGCGGGTCTTTGAGATGGTGGAAGCCCTGCAGGAGCACCCCCGAGACCCCAACCAGATCTTGATCGGCTACAGCCGGGGCCTCGTGGTGGTCTGGGACCTGCGGACGGGCGGGGTGGTCCACCATTTCCTCAGCAGCCAGGTAGAAGGGCTCAGGGCCTGGGAGGGCGGTTCTGCTGGCCCCCGCTGTCCGTCCCTGCTCACGCCTGCGCTCTCCCTCGTCCCCCCTGAAGCAGCTGGAGGGCGTCTGCTGGCAGCGCGACGGCCAGCTGATGGTCAGCTGCCATTCTGACGGCAGCTATTGCCAGTGGCCCGTGGCCGGCGACACCCAACAACTGGAGCCCCTGCCCAGCTGCGTGCCTTACGGTCAGTGCCACCTACTCCTGACGGTGTCCAGTCGGCCTTTCCTGGCTTCAGGGGTGGGGCCCAGAGAATTTAGCCCACAGCCACAGGGCCAGGTGCTAATGCCTGGGTCATGACCTTCTCAGGCTCAGGATCCACAACATGGGTGGGGGTGTAGGGGGAGGATACACAGGTTGTCCGGGCCCTAGAGGAACTGTCCAGCTCATTCCTGTTCTCTTTTGCAGGTCCCTTTCCCTGCAAAGCTATTACCAAAATCTTCTGGCTGACCACCAGGAAGGGGTAGGTACCTGTGCTCCACCCTCTCCTTTTGCCAGAACCTTCCTGGATGACTGGCAGGGGCGTGCAGGCCTCTGCTGGGTGCATGGCACCTCTTGACCAGCTCTGGGTAGCCAGTGGCCATTCAGAGCTCCAGGACTTTGCCGGCAGTCAGCCCCTCCTCCCTCACCAGCCTGAGCCACTTTGGCTCCGGGAGGGGGGCGGGGTCCCTTTTCTCCAAGCAAAACCTTCCTGAAGACCCCTGATGTCACCATGGGTCAGGGGTCCAGGCAGGGATGGCACTGAGCCTGACCCCCAGCCTGGGTTCTCGTAGGCTGCAGCAATCCCCAAAGAGATGGGGTCCAGCCCCCCACCCCCACCCGTCCTGGCCATCCTGAGTGCTCCCCAAGGCTGGCCTCGCACGGTGCCCTGAGACACATGGTGACCACCCAGCCCATTGCCACTCTTCCTCCCCCAGGCTGCCCTTCACCATCTTCCAGGGCGGCATGCCCCGGGCCAGCTACGGGGACCGCCACTGCATCTCCGTGGTCCACGGCAGCCAGCAGACGGCTTTCGACTTCACCTCCCGGGTCATCGACTTCATGGTCCTGGCTGAGGCCGACTCTGCGGCCGGTGGGTGCACTTCTGGAGTGCAATGGGGGTGGTGCAGGGCCCAAACTAGGAGGGTACTTCCCCAACTGGCCCCCATCAGAGAACCCTCGATCCCTTAGTGCTTATCCCCGAGGCCAACAGCCCCCATCATCCCTGTTTACCCGCCCTGTCAGCCTCTCCCTGCCTCTGCCACCGCTTCCTTCCTGGGGTGTGCATGCTCACGTGTGTGCATGCATGTGTGTGTATTGGGGGATAGGGGAAAGAGCCCCCCAGTTTAGCTAAGGCATCTCATTTTGCCTAGAAGCCTTCCTCTTGGAGTGGTCACGGGGTGCCAGCTTAACAGTGGGTGACAGAAAAGACTAGAGACCTGGAGAGGTAGCCAGGCAGGACGGAGGGGCGGCCCTATCATGGCTAGGGTTCCACGAACCTGGGCCCAGGTGTGGTCTCCCAGCCTGGGCCCCTGCCACGGAGAGACCGCTCTACCTACATTCGTTCTTCCTCGGTTTCTTTGTCCTCCTCATACTTGGCACTGGGTGGCCGAGAGCTGGGGCTCAGCAGTGGCCCGGCCACCACAGCCTGGAGTCTCCTCAGACAAGAAGCCTGTGTGATGGTGGCCCCACGCCCCGGGGCTGATCATGCCATCTGGTTCCCAGCATGGGGGGAGGCAGGAGAGAGGCTGAGCTAGGCGTGTATGTGGGGTTCCCTGGGGCTAACTGCCCTCCCTGCTGATAAGGGTGCGCGGTAAGGCGCTTAACCCCTTGGACAAGGTGTAGGCTCCTGAGGCTCCCTCTGTGACCGCCATCAGCCTGGGCACAGTTCGAGTGACACTGAGTAAGGGATCGGGCTGCTAACCGCAAGGTTGGTGGCTCAACCCTCACCCCCAGTGAGTGATGAGGCTGTCTGCTCCCGGGAAAGATTCATAGTCTCAGAAACTCTGTATGGGCCTACACTGAATTGGAATGGACTCAGTCACAGTGAGTCTGGTCTGGCGGGGTGGGGGTGGTTACTATGGAAGAAAACCCAGAAAGCCCCTCCCTCAAGGGACTAACCAACCTTTGAACAGGTGGGCAGAGTGTGGGGTGGCACCATGCTGGTTAGACACCTCCCAGAGGCAGGGATGTATGTTAACAGGAACCTGGATAGGCTAGGCCCGCAGGGACCCAGAGAGCAGAGACTCAGAGCTAGAGAAACTGGTGGGCCACTCTCCCTGGAACCCTTGGGGGTGGAGGGGGGAGTGCCAGTATGGGAGGGGCACCCTGCTAACCCTGATGTAGAGAGGCATCCAGGCTGTCAGCTGGGTGGGTGTCCCAGAAGGGAAGCTCAGAGGGGACCCAGGCTTCAGGCCAGGGGCAAACATGGGGAGAACAGCCAGATCCCAGAGGAAGGCTCAGGACGCCTGGTGGACAGAAAGGGTCTGATCCCCTCTCTCCCCAGAAACCTTGAGAAGAATGTGAGGTGGCTAGGGGTGTCCAGCCCCCGCAAGTAGCCTGGGTGATAGGCGGGACTCAGCAGCATGCGTCCAGCATGCGTCTACTGAGCACTGACTGGAAACCCCGAGGCTTGTGGGTGCGAGCGAGCAGACCAGGGCCCTCGGGAGGCATGGAGGAAGCAGACTGGCTGGAGCCCCGGGGCCTGTCGATACCCCTGCCCTAGCCCCTTTGCTCCCCAGCCCTGCTGCCCTACCAGGGCGAGAGGACTCTGCTCCAGCAGGGTCCTTGTGCTGGGTCTTCTCCTGCGGTGTGAGGCCCTCTCTGGGCCCCTCAGCAGGCAGCTGAAGCGTGGCATCTCCAGGGAGCTGGATTTCTGTGCCGAGTCCCTGACTCCGCCCCGGAGCACTGACTCTGTGCCCGCCCCTGGCCTGTCCCCCAGCCTCTGATGACCCCTACGCCCTGCTGGTGCTGGCCGAGGAGGAGCTGGTGGTGATCGACCTGACGGCGGCCGGCTGGCCCCCTGTGCAGCCGCCCTACCTGGCCTCCCTGCACTGCTCGGCCATCACCTGCTCCCACCACGTCTCCAACATCCCCCTGAAGCTGTGGGAGCGAGTCATTGCTGCCGGCAGCAAGCAGAGCACGCACTTCTCCAGCATGGTAGGTCTGCCTGCCCCGCCCCGCCCCTGCTCCAGCATGGTAGGTCTGCCTGCCCCCGCCCCGCCCCTGCTCAGGGGGGCCCAGTTCTCCCCCAACACGTCTGTCTCTTCCCCAGGAGTGGCCTATTGATGGGGGTACAAGCCTGGCCCCGGACCCCCCTCAGAGAGACCTGCTGCTCACTGGGTAAGTGACCTTGCTGGCTCTCCGTGGGGTGGGGCCCTCCTGCCTGATCCACGGTCCCCCACATCCCTCTCATGGTGACTGGCGGCCCCGCCCACAGGCACGAGGACGGCACCGTGCGCTTCTGGGATGCCTCGGGCGTCTGCCTGCGGCTGCTTTACAAGCTCAGCACCGTCCGCGTCTTCCTCACCGACTCGGACCCCAGCGACAGCCTCCACGCCCAAGGCGAGGAGGAGTGGCCCCCACTCCGCAAGGTGAAGCCACGGGTCTGCAAGCCATGTCCTTGGGGACGGGGTCACAGGGGGATGGTCTGCTCACGGGCTTCTGTCCCTGGCCAGGTGGGCTCCTTCGACCCCTACAGCGACGACCCCCGACTGGGCATCCAAAAGATTTTCCTCTGCAAATACAGTGGCTACCTGGCTGTGGCGGGCACGGCCGGGCAGGTAGGGCTGGTCCCACGGCAAGTAGCTGCCTTTCCGTTTGTGGGGGTCGGGGATGGGAGCCAGCCCAGACATGTGCTCCGGTTCCTGCCACCACCCTGGGTGGGGGTTGCTTGGGACCACTGGCAGTGGTGCAGGCCTGTAACACACTCAGCTGCCAACCACAAGGTTGGTGATTCAAGCCCACCCAGAGGCATCCAAAGGCAGCTCTCTGGTCCACTTCCCACAAATTGGACACTAGAAGCCCTACCCACTGACCACAGTTACGCCCCACACAACGGGGGCACAGGAGGCGGAGCCGGGGTGGTGGGACTTCCCCTGGAATCTGAATTCGGGGCGGGGCTTGCGCCCCTAAGGTCTTGCTGCCCGTCTGCCTACCCGCCCTCCAGGTACTGGTGCTGGAGCTGAACGACGAGGAGGCCGAGCACGCGGTGGTGCAGGTGGAGGCCGACCTGCTGCAGGACCAGGAGGGCTACCGCTGGAAGGGGCACGAGCGGCTGTGTGCCCGCCCGGGCCCGGTGCGCTTTGAGCCTGGCTTCCAGCCCTTCGTGCTGGTGCAGTGCCAGCCGCCAGCCGTGGTCACCTCGCTGGCCCTGCACTCCGAGTGGCGCCTTGTGGCCTTCGGCACCAGCCACGGCTTCGGCCTCTTTGACCACCAGCAACGGCGGCAGGTCTTTGTCAAGTGAGCTGCGTTTGGGGAGGGTGGGGGCCCAGGTCAGGAGGGCGAGGCCAGCCCTGGCGGCCTCTAAGGCGTGGGCTCCACTCCAGGTGCACGCTGCATCCCAGTGACCAGCTGGCCTTGGAGGGCCCCCTGTCCAGAGTCAAGTCCCTGAAGAAGTCCCTGCGCCAGTCCTTCCGCCGGATGCGCCGGAGCAGGGTATCCAGCCGGAAGCGGAGGCCAATGGGTCACCCAGGAGAGGTAGGGCCAGCTCAGGCCCAAACAAGCCATGCTGCCAGCACAGAGGACCCCAGCACCCTGCCCCCTGTCCCCCAGCCCCCAGCATCTACTCACAATAACCCCAGATGGGTCTCCTTGGCTCTCTGTGCTCAGTGTCTCCAGTTGCAAAATGGAATCATGGCAGCCCCACCGCTGCCCTCACACCTCCGTACATCCTAGATGCTGTCTTGTGAGTCCCCAGCTCCTTTCTCCCGACAATTTTAAAAGCAGGAAGGGGGGCTGAGAACCCAGGCATCTCCCACTGAGACACGGTCTCCCAAAATTCAGGCTGGGCTGTGGATGGCATTGCTCTGATAGTGTCCCTGGCCTACCCACCGCAGGTGCCGGAGGCCAGCGCCAAAGTGGAGCGGGCCGGCCTGCAGAGCGTGGAGCTGGCGCCTGTGCAGCGCAAGATCGAGGCGCGCTCGGCCGAGGACTCCTTCACTGGCTTCGTCCGCACGCTCTACTTTGCTGACACCTACCTGAGGGACAGTGAGTGGCCAGCGAGGGTGGGCTCCCAGGCGGGCAGTGCTATGGTGGCTGCTGCCTACCTGGCAAGTGAAAACCTTGGTGGGGTCTGCTGGGAGCAGGGGGAACCAGTGGCCCTACGTAGAGGAACATGTAGGCTGGACCCCTTGTGGTTGTCAGAGTCTTCCCTGTTTGTCCCATCTTGTACTCTTTGGCTGGGCAGGACCGGAATAAGGCCCCCGCTCACAGGTCCTGACCTGGAATAGCCAGGCTGGGCAGGGAGTGAGGTCATCCCCTGACTCCTTGAGAGCCCTGCCCACCCTCTCCCAGAGCCGGGCTCAAATACCCAAAGCCTTTGGTCCCTTGGCAGGCTCCCGCCACTGCCCCTCGCTGTGGGCTGGTACCAACGGCGGCACTGTCTACGCTTTCTCCCTGCGCGTGCCCCCTGCTGAGCGGAGAATGGACGAGCCTGTGCGGGCAGAGCAGGGTGAGTGCTGGGCAGGGGGAGGGCAGTGGCCCTCGGCTGACTGGGCAGGGGCGTGCCGGGCGCTGTCCTCTTGGCCTCCCTCCAGCCCCTCCCCTCCCCTGCTCCTTCCCACAGCCAAGGAGATTCAGCTGATGCACCGTGCACCTGTGGTGGGCATCTTGGTGCTGGATGGGCACAGTGTGCCCCTCCCGGAGCCGCTGGAGGTGGCCCACGACCTGTCCAAGAGCCCGGACATGCAGGGAAGCCACCAGCTACTGGTCATCTCTGAGGAGCAGTTCAAGGTGGTGTGTGGGCCCCGGGGTCCCAGGGCTTCAGACAATGGCTGGGACCGCAGCCAGGGAGGTTTGATTTGACGTTGGTGCTGTGGGCCCCATGAGTGTGGGTGGTCTCATGTCGAGTGCTGAGGGCCCAGGAGAAGAGGTAGGCATACCAAGTCCAAACAAGGAAATAAATGGCCGTGAGGGTTCTCCTGGACCAGGTGGCAGTGGGTGGGGCCGGTCCAGCCTGGCCTGGGCGGGAAGCAAGGGGTCCTTGCCTGCCGAGCAGAATGGGCCCTGCTGCGGGGTGACCAGCCACCCCACGCTTCCAGGTGTTTACACTGCCCAAGGTCAGTGCCAAGCTAAAGCTGAAGCTGACGGCGTTGGAGGGCTCTCGGGTGCGGCGGGCCAGCGTGGCGCACTTCAGCAGCTGTCGGACAGAGGACTATGGGGAGCACCACCTGACCGTCCTTACCAACCTGGGCGATGTCCAAGTGGTCTCCCTGCCCCTGCTCAAGCCCCAGGTGCGCTTCAGCTGCATCCGCCGCGAGGACGTCAGCGGCATCGCCTCCTGCGTCTTCACCAAATACGGACAAGGTGCGCAGGCCCAGAGGACGCGGGGGCGGGGCCCTGAGTGCTGGGCGGGACTGGAGGGGGCTTGGTCCAGGCGGAGCCCTGATCCCCCAGAGGGATGGGGAGATCTGGCGGACTGGCCTCACCTGCCAGGTTTCCCTGCACCCCAGGTTTCTACCTGATCTCCCCCTCGGAGTTTGAGCGCTTCTCTCTCTCCACCAAGTGGCTAGTTGAGCCCCGCTGCTTGGTGCAATCAGTGGAGACCAAGGGCCACCGCAGGCCTCACAACGGGGCGGGCCCTGAGAAGGCCGAGGTCCGACCCAGGTGGGTAAAGGGGCAGCTCTTCCCACAGCCCCTCCTTGCTAAGGGGTGACCCTGAGCCCAGCCACGCCTTTCCATCCTCACTGCCCCGCCCTGAGGCCTTTCATCTGGGCAGGGCCAGGAGGTGGGGCGTGGTCAAGGGGCAGATCCTCATTGTTTCTCCACCCCCCCACCCCCATCCCCCAGGAATTCGGAGAGCCGGAGTGCTGTAGAGGGTAAGGCAGGCCTCCCTGGGGACACCCCTGAGCCCCTTCGAGTCCAGCCCTGCGGAGGGAAGGGGAGACCTCGGAGAGGGAGCCTCAGGGAGGTCACGTGCGGGCTAGGGTGGAAACAGTTCTACCAGCCTCGGGCTCAGCCTTGGGTTCCAGTCCCCCTGGGTCAGGGCAGGCGGCGCTGGGATCAGCTGAACCGGACTCTGCCTTCCAGAGAGGACGAGGGGTCCCACCATGCAGCACGCCCTGCTGAACGATGAGAGTGAGTCCTGGGGGGGGGTCCCCGGGGGTCCCCAGGAGGTTGAGGGCCACTTCCCCTAGGGGAGAGACCGGTCCAACACCCAGTGGACCAGGCAGAAGGGCAGACTTCAGGCCAGCCAGCCTCACAGCCCAGTCACACCCCTATTCCCCTCCGCCCCCAGGAGTGCTGAAGGAGGTCCAGAGTACACTGGAGGGAGACCGAGGGTAAGTCACCTGCTCAGGTGGTAGGAGAGGGTGGCAGTCCTCCTCCGGCTTCCCCAAGTCCCCACACCTGGTGACCATCCCATTTTCCCAACGCAGGAGCTGTGGGGACTGGCGCTCTCAGAGAGTGGTGGGCTACAGCCTCAGCAATGGAGGAGGTAGGGGCTCCAGGGGCTGGGCCTTCTCTTCCCTGTCCCAGGGGCCCCCAGTCCTGACACAAGCCCCCTCTGTTGGGGCTCTGGGAGGTACCGAGACACCATCCAACCTGGGAGCATGCTGACGGATGCCTCTGTGTCTCCTGCCTCAGCAGAGTGAGCGGCCAGCCCCCGTGCTCCATGACCACACACTACTGAGGCCCACCCTGGGGCACTGCCCCAACCGACAGGCCGAGGACTGGACCTTGAGGGGCACCAGGCCCCACCCAGCTGCTGCTCCTGACCTCGGGAGACCAGAAAACCCAGGCCGGGGTCGCCCCTCCCAGCCTGTTGTCAATGTTGCACAGTTTTATCCCCTTTTTGTAGTGGGCTGGGTTTTAAATTATATGATTTAACTGCCTCTAGGTGAAAACAGAGTTTTTAATAAACACCTCATTACCTCTTCAGTGAGTTATCCCAGGTGTTCATCTGTCCGCATGTAGAGTGTTCCGAGGGGCTTAACCCCTCACCTGTGCCCTGGCTCCCCGGGGCAGGGTCTGCCCTAAACTGGGCTGGTGCTCAGGGGCATCCTGCCTAAAGCCATTTGAACCCAGCGCATCTCCAGGAATTGATGCAAGGGTTGCCCATTGTGCCAGTCTGGGTGGACTAGAGAAACAAATCCATTGGCACACACATATGTGTGTAAGAAAGAGCTTTATACACAAGAGTAATTGAACATTGAGAAAACATCCCAGCCCAGTCCAGATCAAGTCCATAAGCCCGATATTAGCCCATATTTCTGATATCAGTCTATAAAGTCCTCTTCAGACTCATGAAACACATGCAATGATGCCGAATGCAGAAGATCACAGGCCAGTGGGTAGAAAGTCTTTGGGTCCAGTGGCGTTGTAAGCATCTCAGCGCTGGCAGGGGTCTCTCTGTGGCTTCTCCGGCTTCTGAGGTCTGGTTTCATCCATGTGGCTTGTCTTCTGCAATGTCTCCCAGGGAATGAACCTAGAGAGAGAGGTGTCTTCTGCCTCCAAGGAGGAAGTAACAGTTTTCCCAGAATTCTCAAGAGGAGGCCATGCCCACAGAAGTCTCATTGGCTACCTCCAGATTGTCAGCCTAGACTCCACCCTTACACTCTTAATCCTTAAATTGACACCAGATTAGGTGACTACCACACCCATCTTGAGTCTGTCTGTGTGGGGTCCTGGGTTGGCCTTCAGCTCGGGCCTTTTCCTATTTTCAGGAGGGAGAAGACCCCTCGAGGTCTCACACTGGGTGCCTTTGTCTAGGTAGTGGGAAGCTGGGGGGCTTAGTGGGTGACATCCCCAAACAAAAGGGCTTACCCTCCCTCCCTGGTGAGGGCTTAAACACTCATGAAGGCCTTCATGGCAGAGCCTGGGACCACGGGGCTGAAGTGTCCAGCTGCTGAATGAAAGGTTGACGGTTGAAACCCACCAGCTGCTTGCTCTCTGGGAGGAAGATGTGGCCCTCCGCTTCAAGAGAGATGGTCCCTCCGAGGCAGATCGATTCTGCCCTGGGAGTGAGAAACCACCCGGGGCAATAGTGCTTAAGGTCTTTATAAGCCTGAGGTTTTTATTCTATTTCGGATATACCCTTTTTTTACTAAGGTTTGTGGAGCACCTTGGGGCAGTTGGGGTTCACAAGTGGCCGAGACACTGCCCACCCTGCCCCTGTGGGGCTCCCAGTTGTTCTCAGTGCAGTAAATGACTCAAGGTGGCCCCAATGCACCACTAGATTAAACCATTGAGCCATAAGATTTTTATCCATTTGATGGGGGACTGGGGGGAACTGGAGGAGGCAGTACATCCACTAGGCTGTTCTTCCTAATCCATCTTAGTCAGAAAACTCCTTGCTGGGAATTGAACCTGAGTCTCCCTCCTGGACAGTGAGAATCTCGCCACCAAACTCAAATCCAGGAGCCTGTGAGGAAAGGCATCTGGGACATTGGCTTTATGAGGTGGCCAGGAGTTGGCTGGGCAGCGGGCACTGTGGTGCATGGCCATTCTGAGCAGAGGTCAGGGCAGCTTGTTGGCTGCTGTGAAAGGAGTGGAGAGGAAGTGTGGTCAGAGGCCAGGAGAGCTGAGCGCCCAGATCCTGGGCTCACCATGCCCAGGACCACTCAGGCCATCAGGGTGCTGATTGCCAACCCCGGGCTGCCCAGCTCCTCCCCAGTCTTCCCATTCTGGTACTTGTTGAGAAGGGGGTGGGGAGGAGGAGAAGGATCAAGAACCACACAGACCAGGACAGTTCCCTAAAGAAGAAGGGGGGCGGGGGGATGTGAAAAGCCAGGGCTGGGGCCACAGCCAGGGAAAGGCTGGACTCTGGACTGAGGCCATGGGAGGGCGATGCCTAGAAGTGGATAGCTCTGCTGCTCTTTGCCCAGAGTCCACTCCGACCCTGAGGATCCCTGGGGGTCGTAGGGGGGCTGGGCACTTGAGTTTTCCATGAATGGCTTTTCGGAAGTCAGTTGAAAGGCCTGTCTTCCCAAGGGCTTCTGGGTTGACTCAACCACAGACCTATTGGTGGCAACTGAGAGCATTGCTCACCGGCACCACCTGGGGACACCTGGATTCTAAAGACCCCTCGTTACAGCCTACTCTGCATGGGTGAGCCCCAGCAAATGACTTACATGCTCTTCACTCTTCTCTGAAAGGCTCCTAGAAAATGTCTCCAAAACTCTAAACCTTTATGGGAACTTGCAGCCTCATCTTTTTCTCAAGGGGAGGGTCATGGGTTTGAACCAGCAACTCTGTGGTTAGCAGCCCAATACTTACCTCACCGCACTACCAAGGCCCCTCCTTCTTCTGGCAGTTCACAAATGTCTCCAAAACTCTAAACCTTTATGGGAACTGGCAGCCTCATCTTTTTCTCAAGGAGAGGCTCATGGGTTTGAACCAGCAACTCTGTGGTTAGCAGCCCAACACTTACCTCACCGCATTACCAAGGCCCCTCCTTCTTCTGGCAGGTCACAAATGTCTCCAAAACTCTAAACCTTTATGGGAACTGGTAGCCTCATCTTTTTCTCAAGGAGAGGCTCATGGGTTTGAACCAGCAACTCTGGTTAGCAGCCCAACACTTACCTCGCCGCACTACCAAGGCCCCTCCTTCTGGCAGGTCACAGCACATTTGATATTCTTCGCCAATGATGCATTGAGTCTTCTTCAATGAACCCACTGCCATGAAGTGGACCCTAACGCAGCACCCCTGGAGGACAGAGTCCAACTGCCCCTGTGGGTTCCCGGAGCCATACGTCTTTACAGGAACTGACAGCCTCATCTTTGTCCCTCAGAGCAGCTGGTGGGTTAGAACTGCTGGCCTTGCAATTAGCAACCCACCTGGTAACACGGTCCACACCAGAGTTCCTGATTCCAGGTCTATGAGACAGTTGACAATATCATGTCTTGGATCAAGTGCATGTTAATCTGCAAAGCAGCATCTTTACTTTTAAACCCTTGAAAGAGGTCCGGGATTTATGGTAGTTCTAAACAATGTAATAGTAAGTATGCATCAGTGACATTGTTACATTTGCAGAAACTCAGTACCCCTTCAGCAAGAACTCCCCCTTTTCTGCAGACCCAGATAATGACGGATAAATACTGGTCTCTGTGCAGTAGTCTATCCAGTCTATGTGGTTCGTGTAAGTGGGACATAACAACAGACACATCCTTTTGTGTCCGACTCGCACTCGGCATGAAGTGTTCCAAGCTCCTCCCCGTTGCCACAGGGACCAGGACTTCATTTCTCGCCTGCGCTGAATAATACATCGTGTGGAATACCGTGCTTTGTGTATGCATCAAGCCTTCCGGTGATTGCAGATGCTGGTGTTCTCTTTCCAGGTGAACCAAAGCTTTTGAACATCAGCGCTCTGGGGTAGCTGTCGTCCCCTGTCCTTTGCTGGTGTTGGGAAGGCCGTGGCTGGAGTTCACAGGTACCTGCAGGCTGACGTACTGGCTGACGTACGTAGCCGAGCAGTACATCAACAGGGAGTTGCCTGAAATTCAAGTTGAATTCAGAAGAGGACCTGGAATCAGGAATAGCATTGCTGGCGCTAGAGTGGATCTTGACTGAAGGCAGAGAATACCCAAAAGATGTTTGCTTGCGTTTTATTGGCTGCAAAGGCACGCGAGTGTGTGGATCATAGCACTCAGGATAACGTTGTGAAGGAGAATTCCAGAACACTTCATTGTGCTTGTGTGCACCGATCCAGAGGTCGTCGTTTGAACAGAACGGGGATATACGGCATGGTTTAAAGTCAAGACAGGTGTGCGTCAGGGTTGTGTCCTCTTGCCATACTCCGAGAGGTTGACCTGTCTGAGGAAGATAAAGGGCATCGGGATCAGAGGAAGGCATATCAAATAAGACCTGCATACATAGGTTCCAAAGTCTTGCCTGATGAAAACAAGGAGGATTTGAAGCCTTCAGTATGGATTGAAACTCAGTGTAAAGAAAATCACTATCTTCATAACTGGACCAGTAGGTAGGATCATGATAGATGGAGAAGAAATTGATGTTGTCAAGGATTTCATGTTACCTGGATCCACCATCAACACAGAAACTCAAGAAGGCAAACCATGTATATCACATTAGACCAGCGGTTCTCAACCTGTGGGTTGTGACCCCTTTGGGGGCCGAATGACCCTTCCACAGGGATCACCTGATTCATAACAATAGCAAAATGACCGTGATTAAGTAGCACAAAAATTAATTTTATGGTTGGGGGATCACCACAACATGAACTGTATTAAAGGGTTGTGGCATTAGGAAGGTTGAGAACTGCTGCAAAAGATCTCTTTAAAATGTTATAGAGAAAACCTGTCACCTTGAGGAGTAAGGTTTGCCTGACCCAAGCCTGGGTATTTTCAATGACCTGTGTGTGTGAAAGTTGGACAGTGAGTAAGGGAGATTGGGAAAGAATTGACCCATTTGAATTCAATGTTGGTGAAGACTATTGAAAGGGTCATGGACTGCGAGAAGAATAAAGGAATCCGTCAGCATGGACAGTCAGAATGTTCCTTAGCATATTTTGGACATGTTAGTGGGAGGGACCAATTCCTGGTACAGGACACGATGCTTGGTAAAGTGGAACTCAACCCACCCCCCCACCCCCCATGTCCATGCAGACTCCTTGCAATCCTCTAGGACAGGGTGGAACTGCCCCTGAGGGTTTCCCAGACGGTAAAGCCTGTTTTTCTCCAGAGGAGCGGCTGGTTTTGAACCAATGACCTTAGGGCTAGCAGCCCCATTGTAACCACTGCACCACCAGGGTGAGGTCAAGTGGAAGTTCGGTGAAAATCATGCAACACCTGGCTCAAACAATAATGATTGTGAGGATGGTGCTGGGGCAGAAGGGGGCGGTGTTTTGTTCTGTCGTGCTTGGCCTTCACTGTGAGTCACAGAGACAGATGATGAGTGAGCCTTGGTGGGGTGAGTGGTTTAGCACCTGACTCACTGCCAGGTGGGCTGCTCCAAGGAGAAGGCCGTGGTGGCACGCCACTTGTTTCTGTGAAGAGTCTTAGTGTTTGCTGTGCTGGAATTGGCACCAAGGTGACTGCTCTCCATTACAATCCAAGATGACAGCCCTGGAGAACTACAGGCAGGACTGCTCGAGCCTACAGGGTCATGTGAGTTGGAGCTTTTACAGGATGATGGTACCCATGACCTTGGAAGCCAACTGCCCTAGCTTTCTCCCATGGCACCCCATGGGGGCAGGTGGGGTGGGGGTGGGGGTGGAAGCAGGCCCTTTCAGTTAGCAGTCAAGGGCTTTAACCACTGTGACACCAGGACACGTGATGTATTACTTTTTTAAAATAAAATAGATATTCCCCAAATCATACACATTACAGTGATGGTGGATTTACTGGTTGCTGGTTAGTTTCCATGGCATGAAGGGCTTTGGTTTACACCAGTTTTAAGCATTAACACCCCCACACACACACAAAAAAAAACATTAACTACTAAGCGATTCTGACTCATAGCAAACTTATTGGACAGGGTAGAACTGCTTCTGTGGGCTCCCCAGACTAACTCCTTAAGGGAGTCGAAAGCCTCATCTCTCCCAAGGAGCAGGGGGTGGATCTGAACTGCTGACATTGCTGTTAGCAGCTCAAGCCACCAGGGCTCCTTTAAAGGGCACATTTTTGTTAAAGTTCACAACTGGAAACAAGGTACAACAAAACTCAGGGGGAAAAAAAACAACAACAACAAAACTGAGGAAGCTCCGACAGTGTGTGTGGAAGGAGCCCCTTCCAGCCTCCTGGGACAACTCAGAACATCAGGGAAGGAGGGGCTCCAGCCTTCCTGGTCTGTGGCCTTCATCCTAAGCATCTCCTCTTTCCCGGGCGGCCTCCGATTCATTGTTGGCCCAGGTCAGGACCCTCCGCCGCCTGCATTATTGATGCCCTTGCTTAAGGCAGGAGCCTGCTCTTGAGGCCCAGCCAGTGCAGAGCTTTGTGCTGCGCTCCCGGAGGAACGGACACCCCGAGCGGCCAGATCTCTGGGCAGCCCCTCTTCCCAGGGCGCGTGATGGACGGAAGCAAAGGCAGAGTGCCCCGGCGCGCAACAGGCTGCGGGCCGCCATCACCCAGCGAGCAGGAGTCCGGGTCTGTCAGCACCGACGGTGCACCCGCCGGGGACCGCCCACGGCGCCACGGAAAGGTCCCCGGGACCAGACCCACCACCGAGCCCGCCACCGCTGCCGGGGGTCAGGGGGACCCTAGCGGCCACCGGAAGCCCCCAGCAGGGGGGAGCAGTGGAGGGTCAGGGGGTGAGCCGCCGCTGGAGCCCCCGGGGAGGCCAGGCAGCGAGCGGCGTCGCAGTCTGGACACCAAGGAGAGCGGTGAGCCTCGGGGCGGCCGAGGGGGGCGCGGGGAGCAGGAGAGGCTCGGGGCAGACGGGCGGCAGGGCAAGCGCGGCCGCCGCAGGAGGCGAAAGAAAGATCGGGGAGCTGCAACCCATCGGGGCCGCCCGGAAGCCCGGGGTCGCGATGGCGACACGTCGGGCGGGGACAGGGGCAGCTCCTGCCTGGACAGCGAAGCCCGCGAGCCCCCAGGGGACGGCAGGCGGGGCGGCGAAGCCCCGCAGCTGCGGTCCAAGTCGCGGGGAACGGACACGGGCTCAGGACGGACCACAACTGGGCCGGAGTACGCGCGGGAACCCCGCACCGGGCCCCCAAGCGGGGCCGAGTCATCGGGGCCCCAGAGACCAGGGGAGGACTCGGGGACCGGGACGGACTGGAGTCTGGAGCAGGCCCGACCGAGTCGCGGCCTCCGGGGCCCCGATGCAGAAGA